CGAGACAGGGTTTCTCTTGTGTAGCTTTGCGCCTTTCCTGGAGCTCACTTGGTAGCCCAGGCTGGCCTCGAACTCACAGAGATCCGCCTGCCTCTACCTCCCAAGTGCTGGGATTAAAGGCGTGCGCCACCACGCCCGGCTTTGTTTCTTATTTCTTGAGATAAGTTCTCAGTATCTGGTCTAGGCTGCCCTTGAACTCACAATTCAACTCAGTCTCCTGAATGCTTGGATTATAGGCATGCCCCATCATACTCAGAAAAACTGACAGTAATTTCAAATCACAGTAGTAGCTTCATTTCAATTAAATTATAATTAAATTTAAATGAAGCTACTACTGTGATTTGTGCTGTTTTATATATATATATATATATATATATATATATATATATATATATATATATGAATATCTCAATCCCCCAAGATAGGGTTTTCCTGTATAGCCCTGGCTATCTTGGAACTTGCTTTGTAGACCTGGTTGACCTCAAAATCATAGATCAGCCTGCCTCAGCCTCCCAAGTGTTAGGATTAAAGGCATGAGCCATCACACCCAGCCAAATACATTATTTTTAATTAAGTAAAAATTTTAGTAAATTAGTAAATAAGTCTGCAAAAGCTTAAAATCTATTACTTACATATCCATATATCAAAGCTGGATTCTAAATAGTCACATGGATAAAGCTAACATGAGCTTGCCTGATATATTTATAATGACCCATGAAAAAAGAGTGGAATTAGATGCTTGCTGTAGAATATGATTGTAAGGTGTGTTACTTTTGTTTATGTTGCATTTGTTTAACTCTGTGAAGCTGTGACACTGTGCCTGTCTAGAACACCTAATGGTCTAATAAAGAGCTGAACACCAATAGCAAGGCAGGAGAGAGAAATAGGTGGGGATGGTAGGCAGACAGGATAAACAGAAGGAGAAATATAAATAGAGGAGAAAAAAAGAAGTAGCCAGAGAAGGAGGAGGACATTAGGGGCCAGCCACCCAGCTACATAGCAAGCCATGGAGTAAGAGTAAGATTTACAGAAGTAAGAGAAAAGTCCTAAGGTGGAAGGTAGATGGGTTAAGTTTAAGTTAAGGAAAGCTGGCTAGAAACTGAGCCAAGCTAAGCCCAAGCATTTATAATTAAGAATAAGCCTCTGTGTGTGATTTATTTGGGAGCTGGGTGGCAGGCCCCCCAAAAGAGTAAAACAAACAACTGATGCTCTAAAACAAACAGTATTGAAAAGATGTGAGGTGCACACACCTGTAGTCTTAAATGATCTGGAGGCTGAGTCAGGAAGATTGCTCGGGAATGAGTTCTGGGTCATTTGGAGCAGCACAGCAGAACCTTCCTCTCGCCTTCCTTCCCCCCTCAGAACAGAACCCAGGGCCTCATGCTGCCCAGTAAGTGTTCTCACACAGCACTACACCCTCAGCCTCAAACCAGGTCTCTAAAGAACAGCTGGCTCTGAGTGCAACTTAGTGGAAGCATACACTCAACATTCACAAGGCACTGCATTATTAACCCAGCACTATTGGTAAAATTATTAAGGCCACTCCATGTAGTTAAAAGGGAGGTTTATTTTGTGGGGTAACTCACAAGTGAAGGGATAGGTTACAGGGTCTGAGAAAGGTGTAGCTCAGTCCGGCGGTGTTCTCTGGAGAACTCTGCTTGGTCTACCTCCAGCGTCCAGGATCCAGGAACCAAGAGCACCGACCCATCCGGATCTCAGGTCTTCAGGGATCTCTCTCGGCCCCGCCTTGTAAGTGTGACAGTTACCAAAGCCTCAATGGGGGTTGGAACTTCCAGATCAAAGCTGGAATGGCTACCCACTACATCTCCCCCTTTTGTCTAAATAAAAAGGTTCTAACCTAATACAAGACTATATACAAAGGAATCGTTATCAAATATTGTCCAGGAGTAATGAGAGATAATGACCTAGATAAGATAGAACTACAACCAATGCAAACAATATCAAGCAAGAAACACATACTAAAATCCAGAGAAGTATAGAGCATAGGTAAATGGCATGTTACAAAGATCATTCCAAAAGGTGTCGTATCCTAAAGAACCTGAATCTAATACTTAATATGTTCTAAGATTATATATATATACACATATACTAAGTTGTAACTATAACTGCTAGTCTTCAATCCCATCAAAGACCTGAGAAGGAACATAATGGTACCTAAGAAATGGTAGATGGATGCAAGCAACTTTCCGGAGTCTTGCAAGAGTAGACAGAGACAGCTGGCAGCCTGGACAGTCAGCTAATGTTTCTCAGCATTGTTGGTACATTCAAATTGGCTACAGGCCTAGTGTATCTGACAGACCATTTTTAGAAGCAGGAATTTTGAGAGACCATCTTACCCTGTCTTGGCAGAGTTCAGAAGTCGCTTTTTCTTGTATTCTGCTTGTCCAGAAGGACAGCATTTGTGCTGTCAGCAGTTGAGGCAAGGGCAGTTCTTTGCCCAATAGGCTATTTTGTGCCAAGAAGAGATTTCCAAATGGAAATGTCTTAGAAGCCCAACATTCCCTCAGGACAAATTGGTACTGCCAGGAGCAATTGTGTCTCACAGAAACAGAATTCTAAGTTATTTAAATGCCATATTCTCTAGGTCCATGAAGTGTTTGAAGATTACATGTCTATCCAACCCATGTTATCTGTGAATCTGAATAACCTAACTAACATAACTATAGAGATGAAAAGCATAGGTAACTATAAATCTGTAAGTCTTATCTACCTAAATAACCTAAGGACTAAGGCTTCCCATAAACAAGGTAAACAGTCTATAAGCAAATGTATGGTAAAGGATGATGTCTTTAAAATTGTGACAATACACAGGATATTTATAACAGAGGTAGAAATGTATAGTGCAATATGCAATATGACAATCTTAAATATATAACAATATACAGAATATCCTAAGTAGAACATACATACAGTATGACAGATATAAATTTACAATTTCAAATAAGAGTAGAAATATATGTACATTATAACAAATATAGTTCTGTATTTGTATCAATATACAAATTATCTTAAACAGGAATATAAACATATTTATATTTGTATCAACATATAAGAATCCATAACAGTGCAAAAAAAGCTATTTTACTAAATTTGTTTACTAGTATATACAATAATCTACCATAATATTTTATACCTATCCATTTGGGTAGCCATTCCAGCTTTGATCTGGAAGTTCCAACCCTCAATGAGGCTTTGGTAACTGTCACGCCTACAAGGTGGGGCTGAGAGAGGACCCTGAAGACCCAAGATATGGATGCGCTGGCTCTCTTGGTTCCTGGACCCTGGACGCTGGAGGTAGACCGAGCAGAGTTCTCCAGAGAACACCGCCGGACTATGCTACACTTTTCCCAGACCTTGTAACCTATCCCTTCACTTGTGAGTTACCCCACAAAATAAACCTCCCTTTTAACTACATGGAGTGGCCTTAATAATTTCATCAATATCTCACCCCGAGTCCCAAACCAGGTCTCTAAAGAACAGCTGGTTCTGAGTGCAACTTAGTGAAAGCATTCACTCAACATTCACAGGGCACTGCATTACTAACCCAGCACCACACCAATGCATGCACACACACTCACACACTACTTAAAATATTGTATAGCTTTAAAATACAGGAACTAGAAATACAATTGATTATTATAAACACTTACTTCATCCTCCTAAAAATAACTTGAGTCATAGAAAGAAGACAAATAATTAACACTAAAATATAGAATGGTAATAGGGAAGATTGTGTCAATCGTAAAAAAAAATCCTGAGACGGTGCCTGGAGAGATTCCTGACAGAGGAGCCAGTTCAATGTGAAATTCCTACAAAAGACAAAATGTGTGATGTTAGAATCACATATGCTTCCAACTATTCAACAGACAGGTATTCAAAAATCTCAGTAAAAACCAAGATAACACACATTTTCTAAAGCCACTCATTCATAACAGCAAGGATGAACTTACAAATGGAGGGGAGGTTAAGCTACTATGAGGCATGGGCCTTCATCTAAACTGTGCACACATGTAACACTGCTGCTTCTTTTACCAGAGTTACAGTTTGCAAATCAGGTACGTCCAGAAAGGAGTGTGGCTGGAAAGCTTAATTCCCAACAGCACCGTGTCCTAGGGTGGAGGTCAGAGGAACTGATGAGGTCATGACATTGATGGGTTCATAATGGGATGGCATGACTGGGAGGTAGGAACATTTTAGAAGATGGGCCTATCTGGAAGAAGCAGGTCACTGGATAGCGAGCTGCCTTTGAAGGACCTTTCTTACCCCTCCCCTTTCCTCTTTTCCTAAACTTCATCATATGGTGGTCTCCATGGGTCAGAAACAGTGAAACAAACGACCATGCACAGTCATGATCTATGAACCTGGGCCAGTAAGGTAGCTTGATAGGTAAAAGCATACCGTCAAACCTGAAAACCTGAGTTTAACACTATGGTGGAGGAAGAAAAGAAAACTTTCAAATTTTGACTTCTGACCTACACACACACACACACACACACACACACACACACACACACACACACACAATTTTTCAAAATTCTTAAAGAAGTCTATGAAACTGTGAGCAAAAATAAGTCTACTATTCCCTTAAGTAGCTGACATGGATATTTTGTAGAGTGGCTAATACGGTAAAAACATAACTGTCTATAAAGCCCAATTCAAATGTATTTTTCCAGTTGCTGAGGATTAAGTTTAGGGCCTCATGCACACCAGGTAAGCACTTCTACCACTGGACCACACCCCCAGGGAAGAGATGGAGTGTGGTTCAGGGTACTCATGGTACACTTGAAATGCCTCAGCAGTTAACAGCACTGGCTGCTCTTCCAGAGGACCTGGGTTTGGTTGCCAGCGCCCACATGACAGCTCACAATCTGCTGTAACTCCAGGTCCAGGGTATTTAATGCCTTCTCCCGGGGCTCTTATATGTATATGGTGCACATACATGTACTCAGACTCATAACCATCTGTGGCTCGAGTTCCAGGAGATTCAGTGCCTCCTTCTGGGCACTTGTACACAGGTGGTGCATATCATACATGCAGGCAAACACTCATACATATAAAATAACAAAATTTTAAAAAATGCTCACGGGTAGGTTAAAGTGTCTATTTTAAAAATGACTTCATTTTAAAAAATAAGCTGGGGTTGGAGATTTAGCTCAGTGGTATAGCGCTTGCCTAACAAGAGCAAGGCCCTGGGTTTGGTCCTCAGCTCCACAAAAAAACAAAACAAAACAAAAAAAACCAAATAAACAAAAAAGCTAAAGCTTCAAAATGTACTAAGTAGGAAAATAGTGGTATTAGATGCTACCAAAATGTCTTATATTGGGGCTATGGTGCTATCACTGTTGTTATTTTAAGGCAAGACTTCATGAATGCCAATTCCCTATGTAGCTGAGGACAACCTTGAACTTCTGATCCACCAGTTTCCATCTTACCAAGTAATACCAGGATTTCAGGTATGTGCTACCATGCTCCGTTTACATGGTGTTAGGGACTGAACCCAGGGCTATTCATGCCTGCAGCCTAAAACAGTAGAGTTTAGTTTACAGACTAAAACCAGTTCTTTATCTCCCTAGTGCTTGGACATCTTTGGCTCTGTAGACCAGGCTGGCTTTGAACTCACAGAGATCTGCCTGCCTCTGCCTCTGCCTCCCAGTGCTGGGATTAAAGGTGTGCACCACCATCGCAAGGCTTCTTTTTTTTTTTTTTTT